GGGGGGGGGGGGGGCGGCGTCGACTACAAACAACATTCTTGTACAAAAAACTGTCTGCGTATGGACAGTAGTATCTGTCGTCCGGTGTAATTTCCTCGCCAAACTGAACACCGGCGGCCACCTTTATCACGTTAAACATAAACCCCCGCTGCTCTCCGTCGATGAACGACATAAACCTATTTAGTAAGCAGACACAGTCGTAAGCCTTGTGCCGGTCTACAACATAACTGCATCCGAACCGAGCCGCAAAAAATAATTATGATACATCTCCGAAAACTCGATCTCCTTCTTGCGGCAAACAAATCATCCAATCAACCGTCTTACCGTCGAGCGTTCGATCGCTGCTCACTGCTGTCTCCGCGGACGTAAAAGGTGCCAAAAGACAGCCAACCAAACCAAACCAAAGCTAGCTCCGAATGCAATAATTCGCTGCTGCTATTCATCAGTGTATTTCTCTGGCTAAAAGTATTAAAAAACACTTCCCAAGTACAACTGTAGCCAACTAGACACCAAAGGTAAGCTCCGAATACTACAATACGTTGCTGCTTCACCAGAAATTTTCGAGGGCTACAAGCATTGAGCTAAAAAATCAATCAAAGGGCCGCCGCTGCTGATGCCGCTTCCTCCCGCGTCGAGCTTTCGACGGGACTGCATACGTCGAGGCACTCTAGCATGTTGTGACGTCCCATTTTCTCGATCTGCTTGGGGTACATGCCGATGCGCGACAGATCCGCCAGGGTCTCGAAGGGGGCAGCCGCCCTGGAAATCAAAACCGTGGCCACTGTGGAGGTCAGGATATGGAGATTCGGGGAGCACAGATACACGTACATAAAGAGTAGGATCTGAGAGGATATGTGATAATAGATTACCGTTCTTCGAGGGTCTATGACTCTTACGATTCCCAACGGCTGCGAAGAGTTGATGAATCTTTAGGAGAATGGGAAAAGGGTCCACGAAGGCTCGCCCACTCTCCTCGCCACCCTAGCTTGACTGAGTTCGCTCGGTCACGCTTGGCATTCCTCGCCATATTGCACCAAAGGAAATAGCCAACCTCCGGTGGCAGGACATAGCCACCACACTCCCGGACTCTCTGCTCAGCCAGAGTAGAGGGCTTCCATATTGGCGTTCGACGAAGCGTTCTATCTTTACAACCCACGTGTGAAACATGGGCTCCAAAGGAGGAGGAAAGAAAAAGGACGGAGGGTCGCAACAACAGCAGCAACAGCTAAAAAAGCAAAAGCCGCTGATGACCAAACAGCAGACGAAGCCGCGCCCCGACGCTGCTGCGCCTAACCACCAAGGCTCGGCTAAGCCCCAAGAGGGACAGTCGACGCCATCCCAAGCTGGGGACACCGCTGGTGCGGCTGCGAGCGTAGCACCCTCGCAGACCGGTAACCGTGGCGGGTACTTCCAAGCTTTGGTGGGTGGAAGTCGTGACGACAGCGACAACAACAGCAGCGCTGGCGATGGCGCCGAAGCTGTCACCACCCGACACCGCGACACCGACCCGAACTCCGACGACAATGATGACGACAGCGAAGAAGGCGCCGTTGGCGACGACGACGTTGACGACGACCTCGCGCACGACATCCTGCGGAACCGCGCAAGCGCCGCAAGCCAGCAGAGCGGTTCGCTCCTGGCAAGCGGCGGGTCGCTGGAAGCCGTTCTCGTTGGAGCGGTCACGAAGGCCGTGGAAGCGGAAAAGACCCCACCGGCATGGGTTCTCAACATGCTCATGCCAGGAGCCGTCCACCAGCATGATATCCAGCAGGTGAATCCGCGTTCGCTTGCCTCCGATCTAGATGCAGAAAATCGTTCTGGTATGCGCACGACAGTAAGTGTTCAACAGACCCCTGCTCAGAATATGAATGTGTCTACACCGACAAATTCATCTATTAACCCGGTACACCAAAACACGGTAAACCAGGCCTCACCGAACCAGGTAAACCAGCAGACGGTAAACCAGGACACCACTACCCCGGTAACCCAAACCACGGTCAACCAGGAAGTGATTAGCACGGCACGGTTCACTTTGAAAGCCAATGACCTACCTCCTGATCTCAAGCTCGAGGGTCTGCCTCATGAAGATGTTCCGGAAAAAATGGCACTTTACAGGGCACACATCGGTCTATTGTCAGCCGACAACGTCTCTCAACGTACAATCGATCACCGCGCAATCAAACATCTCGCGCTATTCGTGCGAGGTGCAGCAGCTCAAAGCCTCAGCCTCATGCTTAGCTCATCTCTCGAATGGCGACCGCCAGCTCAGCTAAATGCGTTGCGTGCACGTGGAGAAGTGATCCGCATCACACCTCCGAAAACATGGAAGGAGTGGGTCACGGCTTTCACCACATCGTTCGCTCCCGCCAACCGAATTGCTCTTCTTGCGCGTGATGTCATGACATTAGAAGCAAAAAGTAGCCAATCAGTTGACGTGTTCGCGCTCCGAGTATCACGCGCGTATGCCAGACTTCTAGCCGAAGCCGAACGCACAGCTCCGCTGAATGTACCACCTCATGAACACGCATTCAACCAAGCTCTCACCGCCTCTTTTGAGAACGGTGTACATCCACACATCCGCGTAGAGATGATGCGGGCAGATCCATCCGATTCTTTCATGGAATCTAAAGCGCGTGCTCGTCGACACGAGTCCAACAAACTGCGCTCTCCCCCTGCCCCCATCTCGGCTACCGCTTCCACCGTGTACGGTTCGGCTCGTTCCGGGCAGCTCCAAACGACTGCGCAGGATAATCGCGACCGTATTTCTGCTCTGGAAAATTATATTTCCGGGCAGGAGGCATTTGTGTCCAGTGGTGGAGCGTACAGCACGCAACGCGGTGGGCGTCCTCAGCGGGGGACCGACAAACGGGATCGAGACAACTCCAAATCCCGGGGCCCCCCTGCGAGGGCGAAAGCGAAAGTATCGTTTGCTGGGACTACCAAGTCCGACACTGACAACACTCGCAAAGAGTGTGACTTTATTGGCTGCCGATTCAGTAGCATTCGCTTCACGCACACCCGTGCCGAGTGTAAAAATGAAGAAGCAGCGAAAAAAGAGGGGTACAAAGTTACCAAAGACTAGGGTCGCCCGAGTAGGCAGCGTCCTTCGGCCAACGTGGGACACCAATCATTTGGTTCTGTCAAACCAGTAAGTACAAACTGGGATAGACTGCAAAGTTCGAGCAAGCAGAAGAGAGCCAAAGTAGATGAGAGGGATTCAAAACACTGTAAAAATGGTGTACGATCTCTGGTGGGAAAAAAGAAGAAAGCAATCAGAGAGCAACGCTGTAGCAAGACAGTTGAAGTACATGTAACACGAGAATATTCTCGCGAAGGTTGTAGCAACAAGCAGACGCGAGGGGTTCCGAAGTCAAGTACCAGCACAGCTGATGCAGTAGCCTCTGTAGCTCCAGCACTAAGGGATAGCACCCAAGTAGGGCAAGTAGCCGCCTGTTTAGCGCCGCAAGCCTTGCACGTAGCTACCGTAGCTGGGGACTTCAGGTCGAAACATAGGTCCAACCTAATGAGAACTGACCGTAATGAAGAATTTCAAGCTTTTTACATGTCGGCACTCGCTGGATATCCCGTGTGTCCATCGGTATTGCGATCGACATCCAAGCGAGTACGCGTACCCGCCAGAATAAATAATGAATCGGTTGATGAAATAACAATCGACACGGCGTGTGACATACCATGCATATCACGGAAGTTCATGAGAAGTCACAAAACGTTAAAAAACACGGAAATATTTCCGGTACCCCCTGGAGCAATCAATCTGCGAAGCGCTGATGGTTCGCCCCTAAAAATTGCAGGGTACACTCGATTTGAACTGACACTAGGCGAAATCACATTACCTGTTGAAGCTCTAGTGCTGCCGTCGTTGGGACCAGATAATATGCTACTCGACAATAGCATAATGGGCGCATTTGGTGGTGTTCTTGACTGGCAAGCGGAAGAACTGTCGTTTAAAACAGCAGCAACCAAAATTCCAGCTGTCCACCGCAAAACGCGCTATCCCACGACTGATCAGGGAAACAGTTTGAACTGTTCTGTGGTAGCAGTAGAGAGGGACACGCCTGTGATGCCTGTATACACTACACGGAAATGCAGCATACCTGCACAACATGAGATAGCTGTTGAAATTCATTCGCTTGAGGCACCAGATGAAACCACAGCTGCCGCAGTTGAACCGCGCATCGTTACGTCCGATGACGTGGGCAAGCAGGATACACCAGATGCATTCCGCAGAGTGATAGTGGCACGCACGGTCTGTCACTGGTATCAGCACAACAAAAGTGCAATGGTCCAACTGGCCAACCCTTCTCACAGACCGGTATCCTTAAAGAGGAATACGCTCATAGGCTATATTTCTCCAGTGAAAACAGTACTGCCGCAAACAATGAGCAGCGTTCAATCGAGTCCTGCAGAAACGGAAAAAATTCGTGCAGATCTCACAAAAGCATTAGCCAAAGCTTTCCGAGATACAACTTTTTCGCCCGACCAGTGTGAAGAAATGCTTAAACTGTGTACCAAATACCGTTCAGTGTTCTCCCTGAGTCCTAAAGAACTGGGCAGATGTACTCTTACAGAGGCTGATTTTCCATTACAACCGGGGACAAAACCAGTCAACCGAGCTCCATATCGTGCTAATCCACGAATGCAAGAGGTCATTGACAAATGTGTTGGTGAAATGGAAGAAGCCGGGATAATCGAACAAAGAGCGAGCCCATGGGGGTCAGCAGTAACGTTGGTAGCAAAAGCTGACGGCAGTCCCCGATTCTGTGTAGACTACAGAGCGACGATCAACAAGAATTTAATTCGTAAATCGTGGCCAATGCCTGAAATGGCAAGTCATATCGACACCGTAGCAGGTGCTAAATACATCACAGTCTGCGATGTACAAAGTGCATACCACCAAATACCAATTGCCGAAGCAGAACAAGACAAGACTGCATTCGTTACTCGGGATGGAAAATGGGTTTTCAAACGACTCCCCTTTGGCATCGCCAATGCGCCTTTTCTGTTTCAACGTACGATGGCATTGACTTTCGCACATTTTGGTCCAAAGTCTGGTCTTCTTGTGTACATGGATGATCTTATTTGTTGTTCATCTACATGGGAGGGTCATATCTCTCTTTTGGAAAATACCTTCCAAGCGCTACAAGCCGCAGGTCTTACATTAAAACCATCAAAGGTACAATTTGGGCCAAAGGAAGTGAAGTATTTGGGGCATGTTCTTTCCGCAGATGGCATACGATTAGGTGACGATCGAATAAAATCGATACTAGAGTTGCCAACGCCAACGAACATCAAAAGTTTGCGATCAGTCTTAGGAACGGTCAACTATGTCAGGAAATTCATCCCAGACTTAGCCGCCGTTACCGCACCAATGGTTGACCTTACGAAGAAAGACGCAGTGAAGTCGGTAGCGAAACGCTGGGGTCCGAAACATGATGAAGCATTTGCTGAAGTGAAACGATTACTCACCAACGCCCCTGTTTTGCATTTTCCGGACTTTTCTAAGGAGTTTGTTATCCATGTCGACGCATCTGAAGTGGGAGCAGGGGCATTCCTGGCACAACAGAATGGCGATGACGTGAATATCATAGCATACTTTAGCCAGCGATTCAACAAAAGCCAACAACACTACTCTGCCACCATGAAAGAATGCTACGCTGTTGTTCTAGCAATTCAACACTGGCGTCCTTATTTATGGGGTAGACATTTTACGTGCGTGACTGATCATGCGGCATTGCGATATCTTTACACGATGCAAGACACGTCAAATATGCTCACCAGATGGGCAATAGCACTGCAATCCTTCGATTTCACGGTAAAACATAAACCGGGAAAGTTGCATGTAGTGCCGGATACGTTATCGCGACTTTTCGTGTTTGAAAATGAACAAGAACGAACTGCGCCGAATCTTGCACCGATTTGCCGAAATGTACCGGACGACCCAAAGCTGCAACAACACATGCCAAACAGACCATACCAAGTCTCGATTGACAAATTGGACGATGTGCAACCAGTCCTTAGTGATAGGGAACTGTTCACAGTCAATTCAAATTTCGTCAGCGCCATGAAAGTATTTGAATCTGTTGATCATGAGAAATTGCGCGAGAAACAAGCCGAAGAATACGGCGAATATGTCCAATACATTTTAGACGCCAAAGCACCGCTACCGGACAACGAAACGGCAACATCAATGTCGTACTATTCCATACAAGACGGTTTACTGTTTAAATCGTATCTGCCAGGACACCTACGAAAACGAAGCACTTTTAGTGATCAACTTGTAGTCCCACATGACCTCACAGGTTTAGTGATGCACGCATACCATGATCACGCTCTTTCGGGTGGACATCTTGCATTTCGTCCAACGTACGAAAAAATACGACAAAAATATTGGTGGCAGTCAATGAACCGTGACATACGGACTTGGTGCCTAGAATGCCAGGCCTGTCAACGGAGAAAGACACCCCACCGCCGTCCGAAACTGCCGACAGGTCATGTACCTGTACAGCGGCCATTTGAAAGAGTATCAGTCGACCTAGTCGAGTACAAATCGCTCTCAACATCAGCAGTCGGAATGAGATGTAAATACGTGCTTTCCATGATGGATCACTTAACGCGTTATGCAATTCTCACACCAGTTCCGAACAAAACTGCTGAAACCGTAGCACGTGTAATCATTGATCGGATTATCAGTATTTTTGGCCCGCCGGAAATGCTACATTCTGATCAAGGGACTGAATTTGAAAACAAGATCATCTATCAGTTGCAAACAATCTTGGGCTACAAGAAAACACGCACGACGCCGTATCGTCCGCAAGGTAATTCGGTCTCTGAGCGTGTGCATTCAACGATGCATTCCATGCTCGCAATGCATAGTTCATTGGATCGTGACAACTGGGCGGAACTCTTGCCAATGGTTCAACTAGCGTACAATACGTCGTTTAATAAAACCATGCATGAGACACCGTACTTCTTGATGTTTGGTCGCCAAGCACGGTTACCGGTAGATGTAATTCTCGGAATCCCACATGTAGGTTCAACTGCAGATACCGAGAGTTTTGCTCAAAACACACGAGAAAATCTACAAATTGCTTTCGAACTAGCGCGAAGAAACCTAACGGAACGTGCAGAGAAGCAAGCTGCAAAAAACGAAAAGTTACCGCAGTACCCCGTCTTTAAACCTGGTCAACAAGTACTAGTATACCGACCACACCAGGATTCAGATGGGCCAAATCCGAAGCTGTTCTTACCGTGGCGAGGACCGTATGTCATCTGTTCACAACTGTCACCGGTTGTGTATAGGGTGCAGCGAGTAAATGAAACACGAGAAATATCCGTGCACCTTGCCCATCTAAAACAGTACCATGAAAAGGAAAAACCACCAGCACCACAGTTTGAAAAACTGGCTGAATATTTCCTTGGGAAACAAATTCCCTTACCTGCCCTGACAGCAAACGACGAAAATCAACCGAAAATTGAAAGATACGTCGTACTGAAAGTGGTAGGGCATCGAAGTGGTCAAGGCCGAAGAGGTCCGCACAACTATCGATATCGTCTAAGACTGAAAGGATACGGTCCTGAATCAGATCTGATGTATCGTGCCGACGAAGTGCCGCAATGCCACGAAATGATTTCCGCATACCGATCAAAACATGATCTGGACATCGCGCCCGCCAAGAAATCGTCTGAAGCGCCGCAGAAAATAGCGAAGCGCAAACGTGACGAAGGTAGGGATCCGAGTACAAACAAACGCGCAAGGCACAAAGCAAAGCCAACCAAGGCATGTACTAAGCCAACAAAATGCGTGAACAAGGAAAGTGCTCAGCGGAAAAGTAAACGAAGTCCGAAGGCAAACAAAAGATACATTTCCAAAGTGTCTAAACGGTGAAAGGAATAGCATCCAAACAATAAGGTTGCTATCCAGCATTTGATTGGGTCAAATGCTGGCGAGGAAATGTCAAGTTAACCGGTCTCTAGTGAAATTGAGGGTCGCAACTCGATGACACTACGTGAGTCACGGAAACAGTCTTTAGACTGTCGAACACCGTATGCCTATCGTACTCAAGAAGCAAAACGATTGCTTACACCCAGCGGTATGGTTACGCGAACCAGAACCCGCACAAAGTACAAATTCTTGATGCTTAACAAGAATAAACTTTGACATATCATCATTGATTGACATCAATAACTGGTAGCTTGTACGAGCCTTGGAGAGATTAAATCCGTACGGTGTTGCTTTCAACACGTGTGTTTTCCACACGGCACTGTCAGCTGTCTTCGGATAGTGAGGGAGAGATTTAATTTTCGAAAAGCTGTATCTGGATCCAATGATACGTCCATACCTGCTCCACTACAATTAACATGCAAACATGCATGCGCGCCAAAACCCAACTTCAACAAGCTGAGCTTTCGGCGAAGAAAAAGGGGGGCTATGTGGAGGTCAGGATATGGAGATTCGGGGAGCACAGATACACGTACATAAAGAGTAGGATCTGAGAGGATATGTGATAATAGATTACCGTTCTTCGAGGGTCTATGACTCTTACGATTCCCAACGGCTGCGAAGAGTTGATGAATCTTTAGGAGAATGGGAAAAGGGTCCACGAAGGCTCGCCCACTCTCCTCGCCACCCTAGCTTGACTGAGTTCGCTCGGTCACGCTTGGCATTCCTCGCCATATTGCACCAAAGGAAATAGCCAACCTCCGGTGGCAGGACATAGCCACCACACTCCCGGACTCTCTGCTCAGCCAGAGTAGAGGGCTTCCATACCACGCAGACAAATAAATTGAACTTCATTGGTCAGCGGGCGATGTTAACATCAAAACCACACACACACACAAACACGTGCCGTGGATATTTCACTCGGGAGTGCGTGTGGTGCTGTAGGACGGGGCACGGGATCATAGCCCCCCCCGGTTTGCAACAACACCGTCGTGTTGAGGCGTTTTTCTGAGTAGTGTTTACACATTGATAGTAGATCTTCAGGACTAACGCGTTCTGATTTGTCGGGCGTTGTTCGGCGTTGGTTCTGGCGGCCGATTCCTCTCCAGCGCCCTCTCCCCGTTCCGCATTGCGAGCACGCGGCGCAGCCGCGTGCCGCCCAGTTCGCGGCCGCTAGGCCGTGCTTTGGCCGTGGGTGCGGGTTAGGGTTAGGGTAGATGTGGGGTGAGCAACCTAGCCTTGCTCGCGTGAAGAACCTAGCCTTGCAAAGTGCAACATCGGTTAGTCCTAAAGAGTTAATTTCAAAGTCTAACCATGGCTCGTTTTTCTTGCAACGTAAGGGGTGCACTCTGATTGGCTCACACCGCCGGCTTGGTGATTACCTCATGAAGGCCTGCCGAACAGGCACTTTTTATCTGGTGGGATCAGTCATATAGTCAGTGATACGAGGTTGGGTTTGGTAGGGGCCGCTAGCTCAGACTCAAAGTGTGCCTGCAAGTACTATCATCAGAAGCGATGCATCACGGTTACTTGTTGCAAATGGAGGGTCCTGCACTGCGATGGACCGGGGGGCACACGAAGGGGAGGTAAACGGATGTATCCCACGTGGTTCATGGTTCATGCCTGACACCTGTGTCACGGAGCTTTCGTCGCACCACACGTGTCAGCGGAAACGTGCCAAAATTTACTATAATAGGTCGCTGTGTCAAAAGAGGGGGGCTTGTTCGCGCCCGCAATGACGGCCCTAAAACATCGTAATAGCCGAACTGGAATAATACATGCCTACGTCGTAGACGAAAACTTGGCCACAACTCCACTATCGAGGCACCCACTCCGCTACGATACCGACGCTTACATACCGGTCGCCCCGGTGGTCTAGTTGGTAGCCTCGTAACCTTCTAGAGGTCAGGTCAGGGGTTCGAATCCCGGCGTAGGCGAGCTTTTCTTGCAAAGTGAGTTTTTCTCTCGCTTCCGCTCCTGGCCAAGTGGATAGCGCTAGTTCGTGTGTACACAGAGGGAAGAGAGTGCTGAACTCTTCTCGCATTAAAAATTGAAGGCGAAGTACCGCAGAAGGGGAGGGTAGAGAGAGGCTCTTCTGTGTGACCACGGGTTGGAATAAACGGCACTAGTGCTGTGAGCGCTGATTTGAAGTGAAGAACAAAAAAAATAAATAAAAATACCTCGTCTGCAGGATGAGCTGCGCTCTCCGGGGCCCAATCCCGTGCAGGTCGGTGAGCTCCGCGCTGCTCGCCTGCCGTGAGTTACACGGACGGTTGTTGCTCTTCACATTGTGATCAAAAACCGTTCCGGTCTACTCTCAGTGCGTTCTACTGTCCAAACCGGTTCAACTGGCGCGGACGCCTTCCGTGGTTACAGGCCAACGAGCCGAAACGATCCAATGAAAAATAAAAAAGCAAGACCGAACACCTTCGTGCGTGATCGATCACGCGGGGCCATTTCCGGGAGGTAACGCTGGAGCTCTGAGCAGCACATCCGCGACGACCACACGGCCACGCGTCCACACCCGACCCTCGCCTCCTTCACGTACAGGTATGACCACCACCCGGCAAACAACTACCGAAATACGTGTAGCGCTACACAAAATGGAGGAATTGATTTCGGGGTAGGAGTGGTTTTCCCACAATCGGAGTCCGTATTGTTGCGCACGACTAACACAAGGCCGGGTCTCTCTTGCCCTTCCCCTTGTTGCTGCTCCTGCCGCCGCTATTCCTTCGTATTACGGCCTCGTCGGTATGTTTACCTGGTTCATGATGTCTACGACCTGCTTCTCCAGCTTGCCGCTCAGCCCCCTGTTCATCGCACGCAGGCGCTCCTGCGACGGGGTGGAGAAACCAACCGCACAGAGAGTAACGCCACAGCAAACACGACAGAAGTGCCCCACGTCTCGTCTCTCGTTTGCATTGAACGTTCGCTCACAATTTCCAGACCACCCGCCGCATACACGGCATGCCTTTCGCTGAAGCTACCGCTAGCGCCGGCACCGGAGAAATTGAGCACCGAAAAACCTAAAAAATGCAAGAACTTGAGCACCATTTGTGAGCTCGGTTAAGATCCCCTGCACTAAAACCTCTATAGCGACCATTCGTAGCATGACCCTAGGAATACAGTAAGAACAGACCCCGGCCGAAAACTATAATAGAGATTCTTAAGCGGGGGGGATAGCTGTAGAACAACAAGACGTAATTACCCCCCTGCTCCGTGTGGCACCGTACCGACCTCACTGGGTGCCTCTCTTGCATTGGCCGATGGCATGCATGCGACACCTGTTCAGGGATTGCTGTCGGGGCCCGGAAAAAGCTCGGGTCTCAAGGAAACGAACGAGCGGACAACTGACGAACCACCTGTTGCGGGCACCTTCGGCCGAAACCACAAACAGAAAGGGACAACCGCACCACAACCACGGGTCTCTCCCATAAGACCCACCACCCCACACCACCCCAGGCAGCGGCTACTAGCGGTTTCTCCCACCGGAACAACAAAGAGAACCACAGTGGTGGTCCCGATATACCGTGCCGCGGTGTAGTGACAGGCCAAAATCACCGCGGTAAATCGGGACACCGCAATACTGAGCGTTGGGGAATATATAGCTTCTAGTATGGTAGCCAAATCCTGTGACAAGCGATTATTACCGCGGTACGGTGCATCGGAACCACCACCACGGCAGTTTCAAACAAACACAAATCGCCAACGGCACCACAACCCACGGGTCTCTCTCACAAGAAGCCTCACCACCTACCTGCGCGTCCATGCTCTCCCCGTCAAACTGTTCCTCCTCCTCCTCCTCCTCTGGCCCGGCCTCCCCCAGACCGCAGTACCCACCGTCCTCCCCCGCCCCTGGGCTGGCCTCTTCGCTCAAGGAAACTCCCCGGGCGTGGTCGTGATCGCCGGCAGTTTCTCGAGGGCGTGAGGGCGAACGGTAGGGTTCTGAGGCGGCGGTGGCGAGCAAGCTTGATGCCGACATTTTGTCTCCGAGGCCGGCCATGTCGAGGCCGACATCCTGGGTCATCGTCACCGCCGTTGTTGTTGTTAGTACATGGTGTTGCATTAGTGTTGGTGTCATTGTTGTTGGTGGTGGTGTTTTTGGTGGTGCGTTGTACCATCGCTGCTTGGCGTTGATGGTGAGCGGTGTGATGCCGTTTCAGCGTTGCTGCGTACTTCGAATCTTGTCTAACAACCATCGGTGAAGTTGTGCTTGTTGTGGTTCTTGGTGTCTTCGTCAGCTTCTACTCCCTAGATACTCCGACCACGGCACAACATAGTAGAGCAAACCGCGCCGAAAACATTATGCTACAGCAGCACATAGCCGAAGCATACGTCTCGGTATCCTCTCCATGAGAAGAAGCGAAAAACACATGGCCGCCACGTACAGAGTAAACACAACAACTCTCCCGTTAGACAAACGACCGCACCTAGATACCACGCCATACATATCTACATCAAGAGCGACGAACAACATCCGCACCATACGTCGTTCATAGAGAGCACAGCAGTCAAGGTGACCTTCTCCTGGCGACCTCAGCTAACTTCACGAAAGATCCGGTGTGCACGCAACCTCCTGTTGACTTCACACCAAATGCCCGCAAGATTTGTGTACGCGGTCTGCAATAAAATGATGAAACAGAGAAATGACAAAATGAATGGACAAAAAAACATCTACGCCTGGCGCCACCAGTCACATCATGCCGTAATCACGTAGACATCCATCACCTGGTCATTCGGCGACGCGGAACACCTACCCGTACCGGACACGCACGGCATGGCATCGCGGGAACCCGTGAAAGCGCGAGCTAGCGGCGACGACCGCCTGGGGCTGAGTGGAAAAATGGCGGCATAAAAACGAAACAAAGCGAAGCACACGCAACAGTGAGAGAGAGACATGTTATTACCAGGTTATGTGCCGGGAGCCATGCTGTGCGTTTCGTGCGAAGGAGACACCACGCAGAAATTGAGTACACGTTCATAGCACGAAAGACGTCCAATAGCAACGGACCTACTTTTTTAAAGCTCGATTGCTCTACAACCAAGGGGGTGCAAAAAACAAGGGGGTGCAAGAAAGCGCCCGGTAATGTACGGAAAGTCCTCAACGAGATGTTCCGAAAACCGCCAGCTTGGTTGTGGAGTACTGGGGCTTTGAAGTTTGGTCGAGGGGGGTTGCCATCTCTCCGCCTCTTACGGTACGGTAATACAGAAGGAGAGAAAAAAAAAAACACACACACAACAACAACAACACCAACAACAACAACAACAACAACGGGGAGCGCCTTTTTTTTTACACTTTGGAGGTTGGGGGCTAAATTTTTCAAATGGTGGGTTCGGGTCGCGCTCCGACCCTAGAGGAAGGAAAGGCCCCCGAAGGCGGACCAAAAGGTTACCCCCCCCCGCCCGCCCCCGGGACGTCCCGTAGGGGGATGGGGAGAAGGTCCAGGGGGCCCACATCTTTTTCCAGTTTTTGGGCGGCCTTTGGGCAAGCTTTGGATGACAAACGTGCCGGCGTCCCGGGGGCGTTGACCCACGCAATACCCCAAACCGGAGAGACAATTATGGCAGGGGGGGGGGGGGGGGGTGACCGGGCACACAGGTGGAGAGCGACATGGGGTCGGCAAGGACAGCGTACAAAAATGGAAATGCCCTAAATTTCTTCTCTTCAGGATACGATCAGCATAGCATCTGCACCTGTTTTCGTGGAAAGAAATTCAAACGAAAACAAACGAAATCCAGCCGGTTTTCTCCCTCCCATCAACTGCAAAGACTTCAACAACATCCCCTTCGACTGTGGCATTATCTCGAAAGGGTATACTGTTCCCAGTTTTTCTTTGGTTGTATGTAGACTTTCTGACAATAAAACACCACACAAACAAACAAATCCTTACCGTTCTTCCTCGTCGTCCAAGAGGGCTTCCAACCTGGCGATCTTTTTCCGAAGCCTGGGCTTGTAGGCCTGGGAACGGGGGGTGCCGCCGCAAGAACAAACGCAAAATACAACGCCAGTGAACCTCACGGCATGCATGTAACTCGACAGAGTGCCGGTACATCATGAACTGCTGTAGCTGTTGACCAACGTTCGCGAAAAACGAAACCCAAGAGAAAACCGTGCCGCAACTAAAAACGGCAAGCAAGAACGTCAAACATACCCGTGAAGGATCCAAGCGTTGGACGACGTCAAAAAAGCATGTTTTCCCCCATGTCACCAACGGATTTTTCCACCACGCAATTCAATGGAGCCTCTAGTGTTTACTTGTTTCCCTATATAAAAAAAATATCACATAGACAGGTGGCACGCTATATGAAAACGCAGCAGCAGCAGCAGCAGTGAGTATCCTAGTATCCTATCTCGCGCGTGGGAATGTAGACTACATCTATCCTTTGGCGAGGAGAGAAGAGATGCATAGGTCATCTACGACACCCAAAATCCTGTGATGGACCCCAGCAACTGGTAGAGAGCTGCGGCCTGTGCCCGACGGGAAATTCACGCTCCAATGCGATAGGAAACCGATCCGTAGGACTTACTTGTAGCAACACCAGGATCATAGGTCAGACCGGTTTCAACGTACTCACAACATTCACCGCCACAACCACTACCTAGATATTGCCCTAAGTAGACCGCAGCATGCGTGTCTTCTCTACTTATGGGGCTTCTATATCTCACCTCAGGCAGCGTCACCATGGCCGTCTCGTACTTGCGCAGAGCCGCGGCAAGACGCCCCTCCGCCGCCGCCTTTTTCCCTTCCTCAATCAGCACCCTTTGCAGAGGCGGAGAGAGAGAGAGAGAGAGAGATGTACAAAGTCAAGAGAACGTGAAAACAGTCCGAATGGTAGAGGAGGGCGGGGGATTGCACGCCAGCGTGTAGTACCGTAAGGGTGCAAGAGTATGCATGGGGGTGCGATCGATGGTTCAATGAGATCGTTCTGTTAACTTTTATAACGCACTGGGGTCGATATCATCGATCGCCGTTAGATAATCGAATTAAATCATTTCGTTCTTGGTTTTTGATCGCAAGGGGGTGCGATATACACCGGTACGTGCGATATCACCGAACCGTGCGTTCTCTCGCGATTCAGTACGGTAAACGAAAGAGGTGCGTGGGCGAAGTGAGACTGTTCTTCCCGAAGATAGAACTGTTCTTTCCGAAGAAAATAGTAAGAATCAAAGCGTCATCATACATACCACGACACGGTACGTCATTGTAGTTGTAGATCTTATCGGGGTTGCTATTTTTGGGGCCTGAAGCGATCTATCTCGGTGTTATACTGTATATGTGCTGAGTCGGAAAACCAGTCGCTAGTGATTATGCGGCGGCAATATCCAGGGAAAGTTCAAACTTGGCACACGGTATCTACGAAATCGCTATGTGCATTCGGTACATGTACATTCCTCGTGCGATCGACTTTGCCGCTCTCGGGACGGATTTTGGATTTTGGTCCAGCGAGGTGTTTAACGGAGTCGGGCGAGGCAACATTTGACACAGAACCTGGCGCTATTGCCCTGCTTGTTTGTGTTACACACGCTCGGCATTCGGTGCACGAACCTGCATCCGCGCACCTACTACTGCTGTACATGTATGTATGCCGTCTACATTTATTGGTGTGCACTGCGGAACTGCTCCACCCCGCCACCTGCGATCATGCGATCATGCACATTCAAGAAGAATCCAAATGTGTACTGCAGCCTTGTTACGAGGTGCTGCAATGGCCTCGACGCGCGCCATGCCCCGCGTTTTGAATCAAACTTTGTGGAGCGTTATGACCCCCTGAAGCTTTTCGAGGTGCTGTTGCCTTGGGTGTGCTGCCGTACACCTGTACTGCTGTACAGCAAATGCGAGCAGGTCGAAAATCAACCCGAGAAGAAATCGGGCAACGGTCAAAATCCCAATTCGGCCCTCCCTCTAACAAACTTGTCTTTAGCTCACAGCCCCTTTCTCACACCTAAGATTCTCCATCCTCCCCGGCGTGCTTGGGGTCTCCAGCGCGGTGAAGGCCGGGGCGCGGGAGCCATCCACCGCGGCTGCTGTCTTCGCTGCTGCCATCCATGATGATGATGATGTTGTGTTCTCCTTGTTGTTTGTCGATCCTGCGCCGGTGGTGTGCTTCGGTCCATTCCGCTTGGTCTTGCCGCTGACAGCAGTGGCGTTGCTCACCGGCGTCCTGGCGCCTCGGACCGGTGAGGATAGCGCCGCCAGCAGGGAAGCATTCATAGTGATCAGACTCAACGCGCGACCTACGCGCTGTTGGTGTTTGCCGAGGCCTGTACCGCCGCGTACAGAGAGACAGCCTGCCTGGAAAGAGACACACAGATGAGAGTATAGGGGGAGGGTAGAAAAATCAAGATTTGGTAGGGGGGGGGG